TGTGCGGTTGCCCCCACCCCACCCCGAGGAGGTGGGTGCTGTGGGTGCCGCGGGGGGAGCAGGACCCGTGGGAAAGCACCTTGCGGGCCTCGCCAGGGAGCGCGCGGCGGTTTGGAGGGTTTTGGCACAGCGCTGCTGCGCAAGCTATAAATAGGAGAAGAGCTTCAGGGCAGAGAAAGGGGTCATTTGCTGGGCGAGATCCCCCTGCGTGCGCTGCTGCCAAGCTCTCCCCAGCAAGACACCTCTAACGAGGCGAACCCGGCAGCCTGCCGCATCGGGACTGTGCCACCAGCGCACAAACATCCACCCCCAGCTGCCTCATCCCTGCTCAACCCAACACCCGAAACGAGGGCACGGAAGGACCCCGGGGAAAAAGCTGCGGGAGGTTTCGGTGCACAGTCGGTGTGCTGGAGCGTGAGCTGGTGAGGCAGCGGAGGCTGAGCAAGCGGGGTTGCCCTGGAAACAGAGAGGCTGCATGTGAACGGCTCCAGTACCCGTAGTTTATATTTATGAGGCCGATGACATGTGCCATTGCAGAGTGATGTCAAGAGAAGCAGCAGCTGAGAGAAGGCTGCGTCACTCTCCATGGCCTAGTGCACCCAGCCGGTGCAATGCTCCTCCTCGGGGGTGCAGAGCCGGCCGCCGCACTCCTGGGGACCAACACGCACACCCGGCACCCACACGAGTGCCACCGCATCTAACAGCCCCCTGCCCCAGGAGCCGCCGAGCGGGAAGAACCAACTTTGCCAGGGTGGCAGCGGAGTTAGTGACAAGGCACAGAGCCCATCACACCTGACCCGCTCCCCCGTGGCCCCAGGCCAGCAGAACCAGCAGCTCTGGATCGGAGCGTAGCCAGGAAAGGAGAAGGTGCTGCCAGGCCTCCCGCTCTGGCACTAGATGCTGCTACAGAGCAACATCGTTCTAATTATAGTAACAGTGTCAGCGCTGAACAGTGGGAAAAATACATACTTCAAAAGGTCTATAACCATGTAATTTGCTGCTGGCAAAACTCACTACAAAAAAAACCCCCAGAATGAAGCACTTTTAAAAAGTAATTTGTACTCATCTGACTTGCTTTAAATTAGCTACGGGTTCAGCAGGGGGGCAGGGGGGATGAGGTGGGCATACAAGCAGCAGAGATTTCTGGTTAAAACTGCCTTTCTATTCATATGGCTTTATATTAGTTTTACATGAAACAGCGACATTTGGTGGATCTATATTTAATCTAAATATAGCCCAAGAAAAGTCAAGTCAGTACAGCATTACTCTTACGGTTAGAGAAAGGAGGGAGTCGGGTGGGTAGGCAGACACTTACAAGTCACTTCCAAGATGCGTTTTGCTAGCAATGCTTTCCTCAATTATTTGATCGTGTGGACCTACGTGTGGAGCAGAACTGCAGGATTGGGGATTTAGCGCGAGTAAAGTGCAACCCACTCCTGTAAATGCCTTCTCCAGTTCCTGCTGTCCCTGAAAGCACCCATCATGTCACTGTCACTCCACCTGGAGAGCAGCTGTCGCTCTCTGCATGTCTCACCCCTGGGGATCCCACGGGGACTTGCTGGGGCAGCGAGGTGAAGCAGAGCAGGGGGGAGAAAATAGTAACTCTGGTGCCTGGAGCTGCCCTTTGAGATTAGAGCAAATCCCTGCCAAGAAAGGAACTCACTCTGTGTATCTCACATTCGCTAGCGAGCGACCAAGACTAGCTCCTGTGCGGACACAGAACAAGAGACAGTCCCTTCCTTGAAAAGCCACAGGCTAAACAGGTCAGACAAAGGGTAGGAGCGTAAAACCGGCTGTTCTGGCAGGGGGCTCACAGCCTTCCAGCTCCTTTCCACCACCGTGCTGCTTTTGCTGCATTAAGCTGGCCAGATGCACATGGCTATTCCTCGAGCTGGTTTTGTGTAGGGAATGTATAACTGATGTTCTTATCCTTCCTCATCTGTGTCTGCTCAAAGACCATTTCATTTCCATGCCCCCCAGCCACAGATGTCGCACAGAGAAGGTTTGACTAGGCCAGTCCTTTCATAACTATTGCTGCTTGTCAAAGTGGTTCAAAATGACACTTCTGGTCAATAATGTCTGGTGACACCACCTGTGGGAGGCTTAAGGGAAATCCAAAAAGGAACGAAAAAGGGTGCAAGTCTGGCTTAGCGGAAATGATTCTTGTCCTATCAGTGGGGAGAACGAGAGGATCACGGTCTGGCCCCACCTAGGATCATATTCAGTGCTGGAAGTTTCTGTTTCTTGCCACCCAGAGAAGTGTTCCCTTTAGGGATGAATGCACCAGGCAAGTCACCAGCCGGGGCAAGGAAAGAAAAAGCCTGTCAGATGGGTTCTTAAATTAGATGGACAATGAATGATGAGTCTGTTCCAGCCGAGCAGAAAGGGACGGATGGAACAAGGGGCCCTTGGGAAGGCAACAAGCTACTGATCTGAGGCTTGGTTAAGGACAAACAGGGCTTGAGTCAGAAATACCTTGAAAGCATGATCAGACCCTCAGGCAGTGTAAACCAGCTGATGATTTATTTACATGCGGTGATTCACTTTTCATGCAGTACTGCGTGCGTGTTTCCAAGTCCAAATTCCCTTGGCACAAGGACACGTGAGACAGCATTGTCCCCTGTGGCGAATGGAGGAAGACCTCACATGCAAGAGTACCAGTCTGCTGCCTTGCTACCGTGTGCCTCAGTTTCCCCACTGAGCAATGGATGTTGGTGGGGAATTCAGATCAGAAAGTAGGTCCTTGTGAAGCTCCCACGCTGCCGACAAGCCTCAGGCTGCACAATCCAAATGAGAGAAGGAAAGCTTGCTGCTGGTGTTGGGGGAAGGGGATTAATCAGCAGGAGATGACAACAGAAGTCCAGGCTTTCATTAATTAGAGGAGGGCATGAGCTGATTCAGGGAGCATTTCCCACACTGCACTGGGGAGTGTGTTTCTGCAGTCACATTCTTCTGCTCCCTGGAGACGTAGGGAGTTTCTAGGTACGGCTTCAAATCACAGCCCTGTCGAGCAGAACTGTGTCACATAACATGTGACACAAGACCTTCCCCTGGGGAGAAGCTGCGGGCCTGCCAGGAAGACAAACATGTTTGGCACTGCACAAATCAGGCTATTACCGTGTCAATCACAGGGCCTTGGATTCAGCCAAAAGGTGGCTAGGAAGCAAAGCCGGAGACCAAGCCTTTCACAAAAGTTTTTCAGAACAGGTACCCCAGAAACATAGACCACCCTCTATCACACATCATTTCTGCTGGAGAACTTCCTCTCGTGGTGGATTTAGTATAGGCTATGAATATCTGCACAGGAATTCAAGTAATTTAGTACGGCAGATTGAAGCCCAATGGCTGCAAATACAGGCTGCAAACACAGACCGGTTTAGAGCAGAATTAAGGCGTAAGGGGAATTAGCCATTGGCACAGCTGATCTATGGACTTGTGGCTGCTATATCACTTCATGTTTTTATTGGATCTGAATGCTTTTCTAAGAGATCTAGCACAGCCCAGCTATGTATTGTGAGCTTGATACTGACATCAGGAGATAAAATTATGGGGAGTCCCCTGCGCAGATCAGACTGGACAGTTCCTTCTGGCTTGTAGAAGAATCCATATGCATATGTACAGCAACTGGCATAATGAGACCCCAGTTTCTGTCATGGCCTTTGGACATAACTGTTTTACAAATAAGAAATATACAGCATTAATCCTGGGTTTGGTGGGACTATATCTTTTTGGAAATATTTGGATAAGGATCTTTCTTCACCCTCTTGGCTTAGATGATGTGCCCGGTTACCAGACATAGACATCTTCACAGGAGGTTCAGTTCTGGTTTAGTTGTTAGAGGGGTGTCTTCCTCCAGCACCACAGCACTAAGAACAGTCTGGAAAAAATATAATAGGGTAGACGCTTTGCTGGATAAAGCATGAATCTACAGACCCAGCTGCCACTAGGGGTTTTGGGCTGGAGGTATTTTGTGTACCTTATCTATATTATGGGTACCATGAAAGCTTTTCTAATTAAGTCTTCTGGAAGACGAAATACCTACAATGACACTGGCAAGTGCCATTTTCAGCCTGCTCACACAGGACTGAAATGGCTCGTTAAGTCATCTGCAATCAGTGGTGGGGCCCTAAAGCTTTGAATACTTCAGCAATTTTCTCATGTGAAGAGAAGCAAGAACAGTCAGGCACCTCTTCCTCATTTTCTCTCCCTCTGCCAAATGAGCCTTTTTTCTTTTCTTTTTTAACTGTTCCCTTAGAAACAGTCAGCTTAGCCCTTTCACCCCTGCTTCTCCTCTCCGTGCTGTACAGCACTGCCATTCTCTGCTGCTCCCCGTAGACTCTCTCCCTGGTCACATTAAATGAGCATGGCGCAGACTTGCACAGCCCCTTGGTAGCATGCCTCGGGACGTAACGGAGATGTTTATGGCAGACGTGCTGCGGCAAGGGAGGTGGCACAGGAACCTCCATGCTGTGACCTCAGGTGACAATTATGCAGTTGTCGTTGGCAAGCCATGGCTGTTCCCCTGTGTTTGGACACACACACACCCCCCCGGCCTGTTCACCCGAGTGAGCCGTCAGGCTGTAAAGGCTGCAAAACGCCTGGTTCAGCTTCTCATCACATTCACGCAAAGCAAATGTTAACCCCAGCCTACTTCCAGCTCTAGACTGAACTCTCGGATTCACTAGAGCATTTCATTATAAAATGAAATCACCCTGTTTGCTGGAAATTCATCAGCTCTTACTGTCAATGCCAGCAGCTTCTAGCCAATTTATTTCACAGAGCTTAGAAAAGTTGGAAAGGACTGAAGCAATGGATAGGAACATGAACCTCTCAATACCAGATTTTCTGTGTTGGAAAAGATTACATGATCTACAGAGACATGTGAACCAGGGAAAAGGTTCAGAGCACATCTGTGATTGAAATAAACCCAAAGAAGTTCAGTCTGGGTCTGAGCTGTGCCAGTTCTGTCTAAATTCAAGTCTCCAAAACACAGATTGGAATTTGGAAGACAACTGCTATGTGAATTCACACTACTTGTCCTGTCAGACCAGGGTTCTTACTGGCAATGGCTGTCACCAGCTCTCTGCTGAGAAGGTCCAAGAAATCCTGCTGCACACTAATCAGGAGTAACTTGCCCTGAGCACAAGTTTCCTCCTGATCCTGACAAAGGGTGTGAGTTTAAATCACAATGCAGGAAAATTTATTGCCCTGCAAAATTCTTTTTTTTAACTGAAAAGGTCTTTACTAAAACTCTAGGTCTTCTGCTCCACAGGAACGTCCAATACCATTTTGATCTTGCTAAGTTTCTGCTAGGCCTCAGGAAAACACTCAGGCAAAGGCATTTGCAGCCTTGCTATAAGGACAGCCTTGCATTTGATAACTGGCCTTTTGAATGCCTTTTTGTGTGCTGCAGCCTCGAGTGGGATGCTTGTATTTACAAAGATTAGGAACGTAGAAACCTTTTCATTCTCACCTGCACTTTGGCTGCTGCTTCTGAAATGCATTAAGACTCCTGTTCTCCAGAGAAACTATCCACATGTTCTTTTCTCAGTTTGTTCACACTGGGAACAAAAATTCATGGTGGGGCATGTTCTGTGGGAGCTAATATTCAGTGGGCTAGACTGTGTGGAGGACATCTCTGCAGGGATCAGATGGTCAATCTCGTACCTCTTTGTAATTCTTATCTACTGTGGAAAAACGTATGAGGTGAATTTCAGGGGGCTTTGGCTTCCTGTCATCCCATAAATACTCTGGAGAAAGCACCTTGGAGGGTTTGTGGGAGAGGAAATGCCTGTTGAGATGACTTTCTTCCTGCCAGGCTGCCATGATCCCATTGGCTTTGTCCATCAGGATGGTCATGTGGCAAGTCTTGGTGAACTCATAAACTTTCTTGACCAGCCCTCCAAACACGGCTCCTCCGTAGTAGAAGTCCCCTTCTCCATCAGGGATGTAGGCTGCTGAAAAGCTCCTCCTCTCATAAGGGAATTGGCTTCGAGGGACATTGAAATAGCCAGGGTGTATGGCTGCTACTATATCACCCAGGGTCTCGGGCCCCCAGGCATTGTAGAACACCATGTCAATGTCCAGGCAGAAGAGGTAGTCCACCTCCTGATGGCTCGTCTCTGCTATGTGCTTATTTATGGCCTCCATCCTGCGCATGGAGATCTCTTGCCAGCTGGGGTATTTCTTGATGGGGACAATGACAAACCTTCGTCCTGGTTGCAGCTGGACATCAGGAATCGTCTCAGGGTTGTCAGTGAAGATATAATAGTTCACCCGATAGCCTTTCATGAAATGTTTCTCTGCTGACTCCAGGAAGTGGCCCACAAACCTCGTGTATCTGTGCAGACACAAAACATGAATAGCACAGCAGAGACAAGGGGTTGCATGGTGGATTATGAATGGAAGAAGACAAGGGATGAAGAGTGTTGACTAGCTATTGCTGCAAGGATGCATACACTACACATGCAATAGGTAAAGTATAGTGGAGGACAAGGAACAAGTGGATTATCCCTGCTTTGACCAACCAACCAACCACCTATCTACAGTTCTAATTCCCAAGGCACATGCTAGTTCTTCAAAAATACTGACCATGCTTTAGGTACCTTGGGTGCCGAGTCTGTTACCTTGTAGGCTTGTGTGATTATGGACACAATACATGGGCATAAAAGTTTACTACAGATTGGGACAGATTTCAGCTCTGCTGAGGACAAGAAAAGCCAAAATGATCTTTCCACAGAGGAAGTACATCAACCCAAGAATTGTGCCCACTGAGGGGTTCACTTACTTTCCAATGGCAAAGGCTGTCACCCCTATGGTGAGATTCAGTGGCCTGTAGGCACTGTCTAGGATCTCAGAATTGAAGGTTCCTTCCCAGACGATGGGGGCCAGCCACGGTGTGACTGTCAGCACATCCTGACGCCTGAAGGAAAAGAAAAGGGGATGTTAATGAAATGCAACTGTTCCTTTTGGTTTCAAGGCCAGTAAATGGGAAAGAAACACTAAAGAGGCAGCTAGAAGAAGAGTGTGTGTATCAGCATTAACTCATTATGGATGGTATTATCTTCAGATCTTTTTCCCTGCCCTCTTATTTAAGGTTACCAAGCATGGATATTTCAGTTCCTGCGATGAAATTAAGCACTGTTTAACAAATTGGCAAAAACCCAAGGATCTACTAAAATCTCATTTAAGCTCATAGGACTTTTCTGCTGAGGAGAGTTTAATGACCACTGAACTCGCAGAATGAGAAGCTATGCATATTTGCTATCAGTCTGATGCAGATTGCTACATACAGATTAAAACACAAGTAATAATGTGAAAATTACTATTAAAATATACCCCATTGCTGTGCTATTAAAACACAGCTTGCGGCATGACAGTTTATTTTTCCAGTATTTATATATAGCTTTAACACATTCAGATATAATTTAAAATTCTGTATGTGAGCCAGCATTCAAATGTGTAACAAAGTTATAGAAAATCCTTAATCTCCTGTGTGGGTAGTGGAAATATTGAACATACACGCAGCAGAGTCTGATTATGCCCTATTACAGCTATGCAATGCTATTTCAACTTTCTTCTTTGTTTTCAGGGTTTCTTTCTTACCTTTTTGATTTTAAAACAAGATGTCATTTATGATGTGTGATTTACCCTAGCCCACTCACATTCGCCCCAGACCATGATCTGTAGCACTCTGCTAATGAAATTTGTCATGCACAGCAAGGGCCACACTTGGAGGCTGAAGCAGTCTCCCATCTGACATGCTCCCAAGGCAATAATAGCACAAAAACCAAACCAAGGGACCTGTGGGGAACAGTTTGATGGCTGAGGCAGCAGTACACTTTCAACCCAGATCTAATACTTTCAGTCTGAGTGGATACAAGAATAACAATTTCACTCCCTCCTATAGTAATGCATATGATTAAAAGATTAAATTATTCAGGAAGAAGAATTTGGTTTGTAGAAAACGTACTAACTGTTCTCTTTCTGGGTTAATTATCCTTTTTTGGAAGGGAGGGGAGAGAGAAAGAGAAGAAAATCTGCAAGTTTGTTTCTCTAAGCAGGGCGCTTTTAAATTTCATTTTAAAGGGCTGCACTGGGTTTCCTAATGACTCATTTCCACGGTATGCATCCTCTCAGTGTGTGCTAGTGAACTCCCTTCAGAAGACATAGAGCACTAAAAGCTACGTGATTCTCTCCTCATTTAGTCCAGTATATACTAGCTGATTTTGCACATTAATTTATTCTAGTACGGAAGAGAGAAATATTCAGTCCTAGCATGTCCTGTTGAAATAATGGGGGGTGGGGGGGAAGGTATGTACCAACAGGGTGTGTTTATTAACATGCAAAAGAGTGGTGGCTGTTGAAGGTGAACTTCTAGAGATAAGAGTCAGGTCATAGGAGCTGGACCGAAGGAGACTGGTAACAAACACGAGCTGACAAGGAGCATTTGCCTAAGTCACTTCTTAGCTGCTGCTGCCTGAAACCTTCCATGTCTGTTTAAACTCACTGGTTTGACTGCTTCTCATAGAGACTTGGCTGTGTGAGTGCCTGCGATTTGTTCCAGCATAAGATCCAGCAGGTTAGCTGAAACCATTGCTGAAGGTAATACAAGGCACTTGCTTGATTTTGCCCTGAAATGGATTCAAAGCTCTCCCACAGCTGGTTACAGCTACAACACCATTCCAGAAGGTATTTCTCATTGTCTTCCAGCTATTACATATCTCCCGTCTCAAAAAGAGCTCCTGGCAGCAACCGTGTAGACAGGCTGTGTGTGTGCGCTAATGTATTAATTGGGAGTTTACAGTAGGTGTGTTAGCAAGTATACAGTGACTAAACTCAATCTTATAGCAGCATAGACAGCTGTAGACATACCCATATGGTTAGACTTCTCTTGGAACAAGGTACTGTTCAGTGTGTACCAGGACTTTGAAACTGTGAGTGCCACAGAGCACCCAAACCAAAGTCAGCAGAAACAAACAACAAAGTTCAAACAAAGAAACTTACTTTGGAGCCAGCACTCTCGGCTGCTGATAAAATAATCTGTAAAAAGGAAGAAATACCCACTGAATAATACATGAATATGCCCGGAAGAGAGGAACGGCAGTTTAAAGGTCAGGAAATAAAAAGTCAGTACTTACTGGGGGAAAAGCTGGATTAGCTTCTCTTCTGTATATTGGAGTTTCATGGAGCTGCATGATGGGGTGGGAAAAGAAAGGGATTGTAATGCTTTTCCTAAAACAAGAACCAGGTTCAGCTTCAGGACCTGCTGCTGTACTGACAGCTGTCCAAGTCCTCGCTCCAGGTGCTGTGCACCCTGCTCTGCCTGGTACCGAGAGTTAGACATTGCCTGTAAGCACCTTCCAGGGCTGCCAGACAAGTAACAGTTTTGAAACAGAACACACAACAGAACAGGGACAGAGAGATACTGGCAGCTCTCCGAGCCTGTGGGTAAATCAGAGTTTAGGGATCAAAATCTAGGGAAGCACATGCTTGTTGGGGACTGCCAGTACTCATCCTGTATGTGCTCCATTCCCTGCATAACTGTTCCTGTTCACCTGGAGGGCTGAACTACCTGAAATATATCACACTTTAAACAGCATTCAGAGAAATAAGCATCTTACTAGACACAATGTTTTTTAATGGCTTGAAATAATCAGAGATGCCTCTATAAGAGATAATCTTTTCCACTTGCATTTTTTTGTTTTGTTTTTACAAGATCAGTAGGTCATGATAAAGGGTGGGAAAAGCCGTGGCTTGTCATGTTACAGCTATGGTCCGCTATGGCAGTGAAGTCACTTAGGCCATGTACCCTGCTCCTCCACAGTGTAAATTCTCTTTTATGCAGCTTTGAGATAGCTTTTAGGACCCTGGCTAACTCAGTTAACCATACATTAGTTTGCATCACACAACGAAGCTGACCCCTTAAACTGTAAGGTTTCTGGAGAAGCAGCTACCCTTTCATTTTGTTCAGAGCAGGCTTCTGGTCCATGACTCAAGTGCTGCCATAACACAAATACATTCGTAAAGCGAGTGGAAAGCACAGATCGTAGAGTGAAGAAGAGGAACATGATTAGGAGACTGGGGGGTTATTCCTAACTCTGCCAGAACTCCTTATGCGACTGGTCATTTCACCTCTCTGACTTATGTTTCTCCATCTAGCGAGCTGGGATACTTAATCCACATCTCAAAGCCCAGTGAGATCCTGTGTGTACATGTGCACGTGTGTGATTACACCCTGATAAATAAAGACAATGTTAACCTGTGAGTCATGGTCTCTGTGACCCACAACAAACAAGGCCTCACTCATGCTGTACAAATACAGCGCTGTCCTGAAGGGCAAGCAGACTAAAGCAGAAAAGGTTGCATTATTACCATTTTGGTTTAAGAGAGTGACTAATTATAGATTCATAAAATAAAGAACAAGTGACTACTTGTTAATAACTACTTATACTGTCAGTGAAGTACAGCTCCTGTAACAATGATCTGTGTTATGAATTACATACAAAATGGGATACTTACAAGATTTCCGGGCAAGGAAGGTAATACGGGAGGTAGTGCACTTTTCCATTCCCAGCTGTAATCCTGAGATAGCAAAGAAACATTTTAAGATAGGCGATGTTGAAAGATATCTTCCTAGAATTTTCCAAGATCTTCTCAGAATCTGGCACAGATTTGGAGAAGTAACTCTAGCTAACTGCTTGTCTACTTTACTAATCAGTGTAGGATCCAGTGTATTGATATTTTAATGTAATATACTGCTGCTAAGGCATAAATGGGAAGCTCGGGACAAAACGAATCCAGAAGCATCCAGCTTGTAACATCAGGTCTAAGTATTTTTATTTACACGAAGTGGTCTGCAAAATGTAGCTCTACATGTTTTTGAAAAGCGTACACACATGGAGACACATAAGGCAGTGCTCAAAATGGATAAATATGCAATATACACTGATGTGACATACTGACACTTCCTGGAACTTTAAATGCTGTGTGTGCGTCCTTTAATTTGCGTAGCAGACAAATAGGCTGCATAGACTCTTTTCTCCCTTCAGTTTTGATCACTATTTAGATTTTTATATACAATCACTTAACTACTAGTGAAATGCAACCGCCCACAATGTGAAATAAGAGCAAATTGCAACATCGGAAATACAGTATAATTAAGAATAATTTACTAATGAATAATTTAATACTTAATAGAAATGCCTGATCTCAGATTCCTTTCAAACAATGTATGAGTTTGCTCAAGAGAATCTGTAAGGCATACTCAGTAGTCAATATACTCAAAGCTACATTCTCAATGTTTGAGAGCAACAATGTTTGATAGCTACAAAGCTATCCCTAGTTACACTGGAGTGAGTTTGGACTGTTTGAGGAGACAGATAATCATCTCTTTTAAGGCCTGAACTGAAACGTAACTGGAATATTCTGTACTCGAACATTTGTTTGAGAGTCAGATACGGTGTTAGCAGCCTAATTTAGACACAATTGGTCTTTTTTTCTCTCTCCCTTCAGAGGCTTCTCCCTCTACTAATGTTACTTTATCTATTGTACGAATTACTGTTCTTTCTTACAGCTCTAACAGGGACTTTCCATGAAATGCACTGCCTAGATTTTTCTGCTACTACGCTTTTTACCACAGTACAGATATAGACAGGATGTTTTAAACATGACCAAGCTTGCCAGCAAATGCTTACCAGATAAACGCAGTAACAACAGACAGACAGACAAGAGATCCCAATGCTTTTCTGGAAATTATGTCTTCTAGACTAGAAGAAGGAAGGGCAACTTCTTACTCTCAGCAGCTTTCAATCTGCAAAGAACAAAAAAGCAAGGGAAATTGGCTATAAGTATCTCACTATGAGAGAAATTGATTATTTTATTATGGAAGCATGAGGCTCTCCAAGCAGTTTCATTTTAATTCAGTCTTTCTGAAATCAGGAACACAGAAGGAACCAGACTGTAAGAGCCAGACCACTTAGTCACTGAGGCAGTTCCTGTAAACTGTTCGAGAAACCTCTCCATTTCAGTGAGATCTAATCACAGTTACATGTGCGTGGGGAGCCTTTCTGATTTGATTCTAGTTTCTGTAGATTCCATTTATTCATCTAAAGCACACACCCTTTGCAATTTAATAAACTCACCAAAACCAATCGTATCAGGTAATAGGCAGAGCTACCATTTTAGCTCATAAACTCCATCTTTCACAGAAGAGTAACTGCCAGAGACAGCTCCCTCCAAAGGCACACGTAGGAGAAAGGTAAACTGAGGTCCAATACAAGCAAAGAAACATTACATGACAATAATAATGCATACTGGGTAACGATATTTCTCTGTAAGTCAAAGAAATCACTCCCTTTTCAACAGCCATAAAAATCAAATTCCCCTAGCTCAGCTGTCTTACCTTAAAAGCTCAAATTAATCCTTTTTCTCTTCATAGGGAAGTAAAGGTTCCCACAGTGTGAACCACGGGACAAACACACAAAGCCTTTGCATGTGGCCTCCAAAGGGGCTTGTTACAAGCACGTGAATTGTTATAGGCTACATTCATTATTACCTTTAGTGAATACAGAATTACGGTACTGCGGATAAGACTCCTGTGTGTGCAAGCTCACTTCTGCCTCCTCAGCATCCTCTGTGTCCACATAAAGCGCTCTTCTGCAAAGCAAGCTTTCCAGGCTGCTGCCGTAGGGACTGTAATGCAGTCTCGAGTTAGAGGAAAGCACTTTCTAGCATGTGACTGGAGCCTGGGGGGGGGGGGGAGGGGGTG